TGATGGAACAGCGCCTGACAAGCTGGGGTGGGTCATCTCACCTGGCTGTGCTGAGTTGCACCTGAATGTGTGCTGGTGCTGTTCCACCAGCCGTTTGTCACCCCTCGGTGTGAAGCGTGAAAATAGCAAAATATTACATTAGGCTTCTTAAACAACATTTTCCGCGATCGATCATAAACGTCAGATTTCAGATCATGTTGGGTACCGAGGTTTCAGGACCACGTGTCTTGCTTACGTGTTATGTATATATCCATCTTTCGAGATATTTATTCATTGATTGTTTTCATTTGAACGCAAACGGACACTATTCATTCATGCCAGGCAATACGGTTAATATGCATTTTCGGCCCTATGGCTGATATCCATTTTCGGCCCGGGTGGTCAATATGGACATGTGCGACAGCCAGTATTACATGTGCAAACTGGTCCATAGTATTCATAGGTATATGATAAATACGATTATCACAATCGGTTGACATAAAGTAAATTTAGCTTCAAGGCGTTGTTAGCGATATTCCAGCAATATCACGGCGGGGACTTTACAGATTGTTCCTACGTCGAGATCCCTCTATATCTAGGCCATTGTGTCCTGTAGGTGCTACACCCGCTGGGAACTTGGATCAGTTTCAAAATCTCTATAAACGTACGGTATAATATCATTGCATAGGCTTTATGTCACAAGTAAACATGTCTTTCAGGACGATAAATAGCTGCACACAGAACCCGTCACATGCGCTGCTTGCAATACTGGCTTGTACAGCAGTAGCCCCTCGCGTCTCAGGTAGGTTTGGTGTTTACTCTTATAAAACATATACAGTCAAATCCCGATGAGTCGAATGCCGGTGTCTCGAATATTATGCATAACTCGAAGTACCTGTTGGTCCCGACCATTCCCTGTTATAGTTGTCATCATTTGATTTCCGGTTACACGAATTCGTCTCATAAATACACACGATGACTCGAGAAGGAAATTTGGTCCCATGACATTCAAACAACAGCAATATTGTATACATAAGCCGAAGTCAGTCAATGAGAAGTTGATTGGTGTAGCAAACTGATCCAATTAACAAAAAAGCGCGGCTCACACCTTTCCGCCATTGACAGGTGAGTTCTAAAGGCAGATTAGTGATTTTACGGAAATCACTGTCTGTGCTAATCAGACTGGAACTGATAAGGTGCCCCTATTAGTGATAGGGGAAATCATTAGGTAAACAAATGCTTAGGTGGAGGAATTAGGACTGGATCATCTTTTTTTCTACCCTCATAGGCATACATATGTCTCGAATACATCGATAAGTCGAATATTATTACTTGGTCCGAAGCGATTCGACTCATCGGGATTTGACTGTATATACCTTATATTCTTCTAAAGACAATGGGAAAATACTTCAGGAAAATGTGTCTGACAGTACACTAGGTGTAAGATATTCCATTCAATAGACGTAAACTGTTGCAAAGTGTGTTATTGCGGTTTGAGGAATAACTTGCTTTTAATTCGGATATTTGCTTCGAATATCAACTAACAGACTTTATCATATCGATTTATAAGATGGGATAGCAACAGGGAGTTTTATTGAACTTTAACGAGTGGACAGCCTCTCATTACTGTAATGGTGATTATAACATTCCAGTTACAATGAAACAGAGTCATGTTAGTCACCCAAACGAGTCTTCCAGTTCACTAGATCGTCCTCGCTATCCCATCTAAGGCTTCCAGAGCCTAGTATTAACAGAATCAAAAGCTTTTCATATTGTTCTTACAAACGATACATGCAATTTAATCTGGCATCGCGACACCTGGATAAGTGAATGAAATCTAAACATATGATCTGAGGTAGAATATTCTCAAAACAGTTTGAAATTCGTAAATTTGTCTAGAAATCATATTATTACTTATCACTGATTTTGTTGAAACATGCCATCGCATGCCAATTGTGTCATGTGAGATTAATGCTCATGCTGTAGATCACTTGATTGTCTGCTCCAAACTCGATTATTTACAGACCGCCGCAATAGCTGGAATATTGCTGAGTGCGGCGTAAAACTTAACTCACTCACTCACTCACTAGTTCGAAGTTGCTGAGTGCGGCGTTAAATAAGAAACCAATCAACCAATCAATAAATATTGTTGTATCGATTGTTCCAAGAGCCTACAGCTCTACTTATATTCATTCTTCTAAGATGCTTTGGTGAAACATCAAAGTCGCCGACAGTACTTTATCAGACGATAATGTGCACTTTTTTGCATTACGTCACAACGTAAGCGACGTCACGATGCATGTCAGTTGTCATCGCCTTGTACGGCCTCCTACAGTAAACTACTCCGTTGCATCCCGTTTTTGGTTTGCAGTTGCTTCACGCAGCTAACATCACTGGGGGAAACATTACGTTTATGTTTTCCGACGGTTAAAATGTCTCAATTCGACTCAAGTTTTCAGCGACACGGTAACGTTCGCCATGTTTACATTCCCACAATGAAATCGTAGAATGTCGCTTGACTACTCAGATGCATCTGGATGTACTGATTTAAACTTACGTCGGTAGTAGAAATGCGACGTTCATATTGCCTCATATGGTTTATGTTACAAATTTCCGCAGTGCCCTGCGCGCGTTATCGTTTGCATTTTTAGAATAGCATTTAAACAATTGTTTTTTATATATTCAGTTTCGGTTTTGTTCTCATACAGGATGATAAATGCAAATGTATTTGGACAAAAATAACTATAGTGTTAGCTAGAAGTTTATCTAAAATTACCTGTGTAAAATCCGTTACGTTACAGCTCTAATTGTGGAATTAGCGCTGTATAAATATTCTACTACTACTACTACTACTACTACTACTACTACTACTACTACTACTACTACCACTACTATTACTAAATGATCCGTGAAGATCCGGGGTAGAATAGGTCTTCAGCAACCCATGCTTGCCACAAAAGGCGACTATGCTTGTCGCAAGAGGCGACTAACGGGATCGGGTGGTGAGGCTCGCTGACTTGGTTGATACATGACATCGGTTCCCAATTGCGCAGGTCGATGCTCATGCTGTTGATCACTGGATTGTCTGGTCCAGACTCAATTATTCACAGACTGCCGCCATATAGCTGGAATATTGCTTAGCGTAGCCTAAAACTAAACTCACTCCCTCATTCACTGTTACAAAATACGTTATACTTGCTTGTAACTTGCTCAGAATGTTTTTGGATAATTTGTCTTTCCATATTAATTTCTTCTTAGGGACATTTGAAGTTGATTCATTGATTTATTTGATTCCTGTGACCACTGAAACATCAGTTCACTAGGTAATTCAAACCAAACAAATTGGAAGAATATGCATATAAGCATTAACACTTGCACCTTGATTTTCACAATAGATAGGTATCTCCACACACTCTCAACATGACAATGAACAAGTGGCACGCATACAACATACTTTATACATGTCTAGCAGCTGACCACAGTTGTTAATAACAGTGTCGTGCGTTCTTGTGACTTCCAACAAATTTGTTTCATCTCCGACTGTATCGATTCAAAATGGTGGCTCATTCTATGCGAGGTTCATAAGAAATGTTTTCAGGGAGATAATTGTATGGATGCCAGTTAGTGACGAACACAACGTCTCGGGGTATATCCTTATTCCTTCATCAGGTGAATGCATGTTGTGAGGCAGAGAGAATATGTATGTCCATGTAATCATAAGAAGAACAAAAGTAACGATACAACAACGACAGAAGCTTAACAGGTGTCATTGCGACTAGCCCAGGACAGCCACCGTCTAAATATTTCCAAACGAAAAAAACACTATGAAGCCAATACATGTGTGGCTTAGTTGTAATTCTTTATGTGACGCTAATCTGCAGTCTTAATCCTTATTACTACCGCAGTGTACATTGGCTGGTCACACAACCCGTACCACTCTGTCACTTTCATTAACTGTATATGACATTTATAGCCTTAATTGGTCATCCCCTTGACCGTGTCTGCCAACACATTAACTGGTATAAGGAAGTGCTATTGTTTGTTTACCTGTCCATTGCAACCTTTTCGTCTGTCCATTGCTGTCTATATTTATGTCTATTTGTTTATCATGTATCGTCTAGCCAACTAAAGGAGTTTGGACACAAGGTGTTGCCCGTCTGAGGTTGTTGTCCGGTCGACATACCTACTCGTTGACACAAAGGAAGCCCACAGTTAACTGGCCCTGATACATGACTGGTAAAGGACAAATGGAAGCCAACACTGAACTGTTGAATAGCTCTGATAGGCTATCGTTGTGTTCCTCGTAATACAGAAGGTGACATCCATAAGATTTACTTGATTATTTGTACCTCTTCTAAATGCCTTTAAATGACCAAATATTTTCAGTGTATATACAGACACTAACTGGCAGTGTAAAGACGACACGAAGCATGGTAGTCACGCTTGTATTCACCAGACACGTTTATACACTGTGTGTCACGCTTCGGAAACCAGGTCCTTGTGTGAACTCGGTGACTGCTCGCTAAGGCGTAGACGCTTTCTATGGATCCATAGTTCCACTGACAATTGTGTTTCTCTTGTGTCTATGTTTTGTCTGTGTTGTAACACTGCTGTGTCTATGTTGTGCTTCTGTTGTGCCATGTTGTGCCTCCGTTTTTACGTGTTGTGTATCTGTTGCCTCTGACACAACAGAATCACAGCAGAAAAAACACAGGCAAAACAGAGGGACACATCTCACAACAGAGACACAACAGAGACACAACAGAAACACCCTGTTCTGTCTCTATTGCGCCTCTTTTGTGTCTGTCAAACATATGCACTCAAATTGGAATAGAGTGTATCTCTTGGGCCTCTGTTGTATCTCTCTTGTGTCTCTGTTGTGCCTTTGTTGTGTCTCCGTTGTGTATGTTGTGTCTCTATTTTTCTCGGTTGTGTCTCCGTTGACTCTGTAATGTCTTAGTTGTCTTTATTGTTTCTCAGCTGTGTCTCTGTTGTGCCTCTTTTATCTACCTGTTGTTTCTTTATTGTGCCTCTGCTGTCTCTAGTGTCCCTCTGTTGTGTCTCAACTGCGTCTCTGTTGTGTTTGTTGTGCCTCTGTTGTGTCTCTGTTGCCTCTGCTGTGTCTCTACTGTCCCTCTGTTGTGTCTCAACTGTGACTTTGTTGTGCCTCTGTTGTGCTTCTGTTGTGTCTCTGGTGTATCTCTGTTATGTCGCTGTTGTCTCTGTTGTGCCTCTGCTGTGTCTCTATTGTGCCTCTGTTGTGTCCCTGGTGTGTCTCTGTTGTCTCTGTTGTGTTTCTGTTGTGTCTCTGTTGTGTTTCTGTTGTATTTCTCTTGTATTTCTGTTGTCTCTGCTGTGTCGCTGTTGTCTTCGTTGTGTCTCTGTTGTGTCTCTGTTGTGTTGCTGTTGTGTTTGTTGTGCCTCTGTTGTCTCTGCTGTGTCTCTGCTGTGTCTTTGTTGTCTCTGCTGTGCCGCTGTTGTCTCTGTTGTGTCTCTGTTGTGTTTGTTGTGCCTCTGTTGTCTCTGCTGTGTCTCTGCTGTGCCGCTGTTTTCTCAGTTGTGTCTCTGTTGTGTTTCTGTTGTGTCGCTGTTGTGCCCCTGGTGTGTCTCTATTGTGCCTCTGTTGTGTCTCTGGTGTGTTTCTGTTGTGTTTCTGTTGTATTTCTGTTGTGTTTGTTGTGCCTCTGTTGTCTTCGTTGTGTCTCTGTTGTGTCTCTGTTGTGTCGCTGTTGTGTTTGTTGTGCCTCTGTTGTGTCTTTGTTGTCTCTGTTGTGCCGCTGTTGTCTCTGTTGTGTCTCTGTTGTGTTTGTTGTGCCTCTGTTGTCTCTGCTGTGTCTCTTCTGTGTCTCTGCTGTGCCGCTGTTTTCTCAGTTGTGTCTCTGTTGTGTTTGTTGTGTCTCTGCTGCGTCTCTGCTGTGCCGCTGTTGTCTCTGTTGTGTCTCTGTTGCCTCTGATGTGTCTCTGTTGTCTCTCTGTTGTGTCTCCGTTGTATCTCTTGTGTCTCTGTTGTGCCCCTGTTGTCTCTGTTGTATCTGTTATGCCTCTGTTGTCTCTACTGTGTCTCTGCTGTGCCGCTGTTGTCTCTGTTGTGTCTCTGTTGTCTCTCTGTTGTGTCTCCGTTGTCTCTGTTGTGTCTCTGTTGTATCTGTTATGCCTCTGCCGTCTCTGTTGTGCCTCTTTTGTTTCTCTGTTGTATCTGTTATGCCTCTGTTGTCTCTGCTGTGCCGCTGTTGTCTCTGATGTGTCTCTGTTGTCTCTCTGTTGTGTCTCCGTTGTCTCTGTTGTGTCTCTGTTGTATCTGTTATGCCTCTGTTGTCTCTGTTGTGCCTCTTTTGTTTCTCTGTTGTATATGTTATGCCTCTGTTGTCTCTTTTGTGTCTCTGTTGTCTCTGTTGTGCATCTGTTGTGTCTCTGTTGTCTCTGTTGTGCCTCTGTTGTGTCTCTGTTGTGCCTCTGTTGTGTCTCTGTTGTCTCTGTTGTGCCTCTGTTGTGTCTCCGTTGTCTCTGTTGTGTCTCTGTTGTATCTGTTATGCCTCTGTTGTCTCTGTTGTGCCTCTTTTGTTTCTCTGTTGTATATGGTATGCCTCTGTTGTCTCTTTTGTGTCTCTGTTGTCTCCGTTGTCTCTGTTGTGTCTCTGTTGTATCTGTTATGCCTCTGTTGTCTCTGTTGTGCCTCTTTTGTTTCTCTGTTGTATATGTAATGCCTCTGTTGTCTCTTTTGTGTCTCTGTTGTCTCTGTTGTGCCTCTGTTATGTCTCTGTTGTCTCTGTTGTGCCTCTGTTGTATCTCTGTTGTCTCTGTTGTGCCTCTGCTGTGTCTCTGTTGTCTCAGTTGTGCCTTTGTTGTGTCTCTGTTGTCTCTGTTGTGCCTCTGTTGTGTCTATCAATATTCACGGTAAACGGGCGTCAATATTATAACATACCATAAACAGAAATATAGCACAGCTCGAGGACTCTGTTGTGTCTCTGTTGTGTCTCTGTTGTGCCTCTGTTGTGTCTCCGTTGTCTCTAGTGTCCCTCTGTTGTGTCTCAACTGCGTCTCTGTTGTGTTTGTTGTGCCTCTGTTGTCTCTGTTGTGCCTCTGTTGTGTCTCTGTTGTGTCTGTTGTGCCTCTGTTGTGTCTTTGTTGTCTCTGTTGTGCCTCTGTTGTGTCTATCAATATTCACGGTAAACGGGCGTCAATATTATAACATACCATAAACAGAAATAGAGCACAGCTCGAGGACTCTGTTGTGTCTCTGTTGTGTCTCTGTTGTCTCTGTTGTGTCTGTTGTGTCTCTGTTGTCTCTGTTGTGCGTCTGTTGTGTTTCTCAATATCCACGGTAAACGAGTGTCAATATTACATCATATCATAAACTGAAATAGAGCTTAGCACGAGGACTCAACGCTCAGACGGTTGTCAATTGTTACAACAGATCATAAATTGAAATAGGGCACATGGACTCAATATTCATTGTAAACGGGTGTTAACGTTACAATATAGCATAAACTGAAATAGAGCACGAGGACTCAACAGTCAGGCGGTTGTCAATGGTTACAACATAACATGTCGGTATATAAAGCACAACACGATTGTTCGCCCAGGAAAGGTTACCTGTTCAGATAAGTTCTGTCAATGTGTGTCCCTATTACGGAGTATCCATGCGCAGTTACAGAGTCCCTTTGTTCGCTAAAATCCTAAGCTGACAATTAACAAACAATTCTGCATGTAGAACGACACATACACAAACATTCAAAATCGTATATCGCATCACCAACAATCACTAAGGCTCGCCATGGAAGAGAAGGTGTATACGGTGCAAGAAATAATTGAATATTTTGAAGGCCAGACCGGTGAAAGATTTAATACCGAGATTGAAAGTTTCCTTCAACAACTCTGTTCGAGGGACACCTTCACTATCACCAAACATTTCCTTCAACAACTCTGTTCAAATGCACAAAACGCGAGAGCCTATAGGAATCTGATGAGGGAAAGAAGGTCAGTTGATGTAGACACATCCGGTATATGTCGGTCTGATGGAGGTAAGCTTGGAGTGATCATGGATGGTAGAAGCAGGGAGCTGGTCTCAGCAGACCACGTTTATTCCGCTGAAGTCCAGGAAGCACGAACTGAAGGAATCCCTGCGGAATATGATATCGTGGTTGAAGAAGACAATATTGATCCCGTGACCAGAGGTGTACAGGATGTACAGCCTATAGGAATCTGATGAGGGAAAGAAGGTCGGTTGATGTAGACACGGTCTGATGGAGGTAAGCTTGGAGTGATCATGGACAGGATGTCGTCTATGAAGAGGAATACCTGAAAGATGTCAAGGAGATCTCATCTGATGCAGTTATCCAGACGGCTGATGTTGGAGTAGAACACATTTCAGGCGTCACAGGAGGAGATGTTGACAACTCCACCGTGGTAGGCGTGGTGAAGGGTGGAATGCGCAACAAACAGACCGTAGTTGATAGTGATATTTGTATCACTGGCAGCAGAGGTGCGCCTGACGGACACTATAACGATGCAGATCACAAACTGAAGGAAGTCGCTGGAGTTACAGATGGTGTTGTCAAGGACTCCACTGTTGTTGGAGAAGTTCATGGTGGCATGGACAATGAACAGACCATTGAAAATTCCACAATCTACTCTGATGGAAGCTTCGGTGGAAACCTTCAGTTCCTCGACCTGAACATAAGACAGAGAGACGATTGTGGAGGACAACAAGATGGCGGTGTCCAGAGCTTCAAAGACTGCATCATTGATCTCCGTAAACCAGATGATGCCACAGATAAAGGTAAACATTAATCTGAAATCACTATGATAGGTTTTGTGCTCCTATCTCTGTTGCCATGTAATCTGATTGCACGAAACGAATAATACAGAATAGAAATGAATAGTTGAGAAGACCATTGCATTTGTTTTACATACACCCCGTATGCTTTACCTCAACCGGCCATTGTATATTGACATAGATTGTGATGGATGTTATATTATCGTGAGAGTGCAAATGCTCCTGTGACATAAACCTGAAACAAAGCCCAATAAAAGTTGAATGTATGCAGATGGTGTCACAGTAGGAATGATACTGTCTGATAATAGAGGGACCTGTGACGATACATCTTTACAAACATATTTTGCAGACAAATCAATTGATGATGCAGAATGCAGCCAGGCCCAGACCGGATCTGCATCCTATGCTGCAGGACTATCTGCTGGGGAGCCAGGTAGGGTGTTAGAGCCAGGTAGGATGTTAGAGTCAGGTAGTATGTTAGAGTCAGGTAGGATGGCAGAGCCAGGTAGGGTGTTAGAGCCAGGTAGGATGTTAGAGCCAGGCAGAATGTTAGAGACAGGTGGGATGTTAGAGCCAGGTAAGATGTTAGAGCCAGGTAGAATGTTAGAGACAGGTGGGATGTAAGAGGCCGGTAGAATGTTAGAGCCAGGTAGAATGTTAGAGGCAGGTAAGATGTTAGAGCCAGGTAGAATGTTAGAGCCAGGTAAGATGTTAGAGCCAGGTAGAATGTTAGAGACAAGTGGGATGTTAGAGCCAGGTAGAATATTAGAGCCAGGTAGAATGTTAGAGACAGGTAAGATGTTAGAGCCAGGTAGAATGTTAGAGCCAGGTAGGATGATAGAGCCAGGTAGAATGTTAGAGACAGGTGGGATATTAGAGCCAGGTAGGATGGTTCAGCCATGTAGGATGTTAGGGCCAGGTAAGATGTTAGAGCCAGGTAGGATGGTAGAGCCAGGTAGGATGTTAGAGCCAGGTGGAATGTTAGAGACAGGTAGGATGTTAGAGCCAGGTAGAATGTTAGAGACAGGTGGGATGTTAGAGCCAGGTAAGATGTTAGAGCCAGGTAGAATGTTAGAGACAGGTATGATGTTAGAGCCAGGTAAGATGTTAGAGCCAGGTAGGATGGCAGAGCCAGGAAGAATGTTAGAGACAGGTAGGATGTTAGAGCCAGGTAAGATGTTAGAGCCAGGTAGGATGTTAGAGCCAGGTAGAATGTTAGAGACAGGTAGGATGTTAGAGCCAGGTAAGATGGTTCAGCCATGTAGGATGTTAGAGCCAGGTAGGATGTTAGAGCCAGGAAGAATGGTAGAGCCAGGTAATATGTTAGAGCCAGGTAGGATGTTAGAGCCAGGTAGAATGTTAGAGACAGGTGGGATATTAGAGCCAGGTAGGATGGTTCAGCCATGTAGGATGTTAGGGCCAGGTAAGATGTTAGAGCCAGGTAGGATGGTAGAGCCAGGTAGGATGTTAGAGCCAGGTGGGATGTTAGAAAAAGGTAGGATGTTAGAGCCAGGTAGGATGTTAGAGACAGTTGGGATGTTAGAGCCAGGTAGGATGTTAGAGCCAGGTAGAATGTTAGAGACAGGTGGGATATTAGAGCCAGGTAGGATGGTTCAGCCATGTAGGATGTTAGGGCCAGGTAAGATGTTAGAGCCAGGTAGGATGGTAGAGCCAGGTAGGATGTTAGAGCCAGGTGGGATGTTAGAGCCAGGTAATATGTTAGAGCCAGGTAGGATGTTAGAGCCAGGTAGAATGTTAGGGACAGGTGGGATATTAGAGCCAGGTAGGATGGTTCAGCCATGTAGGATGTTAGGGCCAGGTAAGATGTTAGCCAGCCAGGATAGGAGGTAGGGTAGAGCCAGGTAGGATGTTAGAGCCAGGTAGGATGTTAGAGCCAGGTAGGATGTTAGAGCCAGGTAGGATGTTAGAGACAGTTGGGATGTTAGAGCCAGGTAAGATGTTAGAGCCAGGTAGGATGTTAGAGCCAGGTAGAATGTTAGAGACAGGTGGGATGTTAGAGCCAGGTAAGATGTTAGAGCCAGGTGGGATGTTAGAGCCAGTTAGGATGGTTCAGCCATGTAGGATGTTAGAGCCAGGTAGGATGGTTCAGCCAGGTAGGAAGGATAGAGCCAGGTAGGATGTTAGAGCCAGGTAGGATGTAAGAGTCAGGTAGAATGTTAGAGACAGGTGGGATGTTAGAGCCAGGTAGGATGGTTCAGCCATGTAGGATGTTAGAGCCAGGTAGAATGTTAGAACCAGGCAAGATGTCAGAGCCAGGTAGGATGTTAGAGACAGGTAATATGTTAGAGACAGGTGGGATGTTAGAGCCAGGTAGAATGTTAAAGACAGGTGGGATGTTTGAGCCAGGTAGGATGTTAGGGACAGGTAAGATGTTAGAGACAGGTAATATGTTAGAGACAGGTGGGATATTAGAGCCAGGTAGGATGGTTCAGCCATGTAGGATGTTAGGGCCAGGTAAGATGTTAGAGCCAGGTAGGATGGTAGAGCCAGGTAGGATGTTAGAGCCAGGTGGAATGTTAGAGACAGGTAGGATGTTAGAGCCAGGTAGAATGTTAGAGACAGGTGGGATGTTAGAGCCAGGTAAGATGTTAGAGCCAGGTAGAATGTTAGAGGCAGATGGTATGTTAGAGCCAGGTAGGATGGCAGAGCCAGGTAAGATGTTAGAGCCAGGTAGAATGTTAGAGACAGGTGGGATGTTAGAGCCAGGTAAGATGTTAGAGCCAGGTAGGATGTTAGAGCCAGGTAAGATGTTAGAGCCAGGTAGGATGTTAGAGCCAGTTAGAATGTTAGAGACAGGTAGGATGGTAGAGCCAGATGTTAGAGCCAGGTAAGATGGTAGAGCCATGTAGGATGTTAGAGACAGGTGGGATGTTAGAGCCAGGTAGGATGGTTCAGCCATGTAGGATGTTAGAGAGCCAGGTAAGATGTTAGAGCCAGCAGGATGGTAGAGAGCCAGGTAGGATGTTAGAGCCAGGTGGGATGTTAGAAAAAGGTAGGATGTTAGAGCCAGGTAGGATGTTAGAGACAGTTGGGATGTTAGAGCCAGGTAGGATGTTAGAGCCAGGTAGAATGTTAGAGACAGGTGGGATATTAGAGCCAGGTAGGGTGGTTCAGCCATGTAGGATGTTAGGGCCAGGTAAGATGTTAGAGCCAGGTAGGATGGTAGAGCCAGGTAGGATGTTAGAGCCAGGTGGGATGTTAGAGACAGGTAATATGTTAGAGCCAGGTAGGATGTTAGAGCCAGGTAGAATGTTAGAGACAGGTGGGATATTAGAGCCAGGTAGGATGGTTCAGCCATGTAGGATGTTAGGGCCAGGTAAGATGTTAGAGCCAGGTAGGATGGTAGAGCCAGGTAGGATGTTAGAGCCAGGTGGGATGTTAGAGACAGGTAGGATGTTAGAGCCAGGTAGGATGTTAGAGACAGTTGGGATGTTAGAGCCAGGTAAGATGTTAGAGCCAGGTAGGATGTTAGAGCCAGGTAGAATGTTAGAGACAGGTGGGATGATAGAGCCAGGTAAGATGTTAGAGCCAGGTGGGATGTTAGAGCCAGTTAGGATGGTTCAGCCATGTAGGATGTTAGAGCCAGGTAGGATGGTTCAGCCAGGTAGGAAGGATAGAGCCAGGTAGGATGTTAGAGCCAGGTAGGATGTAAGAGTCAGGTAGAATGTTAGAGACAGGTGGATGTTATGGATGTTTCAGCCATGTGAGGATGTTAGGAGCCAGGTAGGATGTTAGAAGCCAGGTAAGATGTTAGAGCCAGGTAGGATGTTAGAGACAGGTAATATGTTAGAGACAGGTGGGATGTTAGAGCCAGGTAGGATGTTAGCCAGGTAGGATGTTAGAGC